CCCGGCGGCGGCGCTGTCATGGACACGGCGGCGCTGGAGTTCATTATGACCGCGTCTGTGAAGGAGGAAGAAACAGGCGTCATTGTTGAGGAAGAAGAAGAGAACGCTACGGCAGAGAAGGGCAGCGTCTCAACCGAGGAGCCGACGGTGGAAGAAAAGATCGGCTCTGAACTCATAATCGGTCGAGGGTTTTGGGAGAGAGAGAAAAAATTTAGGCTCTTGATACCATGTGAAATTATGGGAAAGGTTACCCAATAGGGTACCTGGCAAATATATTTATACTTATAAAAGTTTCCAAAGATACAAAGATTCCTTATTTAATATTAGACTATTATAAAATGGGCAGCAAGTTGTATTCCAAAAAGAGAGACTTCTTTCTTCCTTCAAGATATGAAAGATAAAACCCACCTCCTCTCAAAGAAGTTTTTACGAGATTTGTCATCTCCCATAAACCTAATAGATAGAAATATCGGGACATATTTGTATTTCTCTTAATTTATCTGTTTAGTATAAATATACCATCAGGGCACCCTATTGGGTTACGCCATTATTCCATAATATTTCATATGGCCTCAGCAGCCTAGGTTAACCTAGTACCTATCCGCCGTTTTCTTCCTTTCCCGATGGCCTCGTCTTCAGCAACTTCCACGACGGCCATGTCATCTGCGATCCAGACTTCTATCCATGTTCCTACTTCTACAGCGCCGGTGTTTACTGATCAGCCTTCCATGGCGATGGCTTTTTCAAGAATTCCACTGCGTAGTTAAAAGCGCAGTCATTTTCAAGAATTCATTTGAATGCCTTCCCGATTGAATTGTTAGCTGAAATTTGGTATGAGTAAATTAGACTTGATGAATAAGATGCTCAAAAAAATTCATCTAAAAATTCCACCGGGAACGGTCCCAAATGGTGACGGCCGGATAGAGCCTCCTATATAAGGGTTTATTTGACTTTTTATTTAAGTTCGAGGGTCTATCTGACCCTTTTCCCATTGTATTAAGATTTATATGTGACTATGTGTAATATCTTCAGTATTTCAAATAGGTTATATAGTTCAATGCTTCGTCTACTATTATGATCTGAAATATTATAAAGAATATTGCACTAAATGAAAGTTCAATCTTTACGACACTTTCAATTATGCATAAATCTTGATAAGTAGTCTATTTGGCATGGATAGAGCATATAATGTTGGGTGTGTTTCGGAAAAGAAAGAAAATTAATTAAAATAAATTAATTAAATAAAATGACTAGAGAAAAACTAGAAAGGAGATGAAACAGAATTAGTCAAAGCTCGTGCTACGCACGATGTCCTTAAAACGTATTTGTTGCCTCCCACGGTGGTAGGAGCGTTGCAACAATCGTTTCCCAGGATACGATGACTACGAACTAATGTTTGAGCACACAAACAAGAGTTCCAGCGAACGAGAACACAGGCCGAACACAGAAGGAATTTTTCAGAATGCTAGCAGTGTGTTTTTAGAGCTAAAACGTGTATGGATTCGTGTAAGAACGTGTGTTGTAGCAAACCACCTGCCAGCCATTATATAGGAGGATTTGTTGTGTGTAAATGGTGAATTAATGGACCTGAACGTTGGACATCAATGACCAGCCCGTTGGGCATTGAATCGTCCATGAACTGTCCATTTAACGCTGCATTAAAAGATAAGAACGTTGGGCATTTATTGCTGTAACGGTTCAGAAGCCATCAGAAGACCCCTACGTAGTTCTGCCCGAAGGCCATCAGAACTGGAGCATCTCTACCCGAAGGCCGTCAGAGCTGGAGCAGTTCTGATGGATTTTTGGACGGCATTCGTGTCCGCAGGTCGCCCGCGCTCGCAAGTCGCGGTTTTTCTTCTCCAAATCGGGATTTGATTTGCACCCCCCCTGCGCGCGTGGAGAGAGCCTTTACCCTTAAGAATCTTAACTCCATAAGGGGGGAGTCCCTTTATAAAGGGTTGCAAATCCCTTGGGTTTTCCGGTGTGGGAAATTAACACTAGAAACCCATCCTTTTTCCCAGTTTTTCCATTCTAACGGGTAAACTTCGAAAAGCGATTTCTCATTCACCCGTTATCCGTTTTGAGCGTACCATATATCGAATTGTAGCCCTTAACAAGGACAATCCGAAACCACTTTGACCCGACCCAAATCGGAAGTGGACCCCACTCAAAAAATTGCCCCAAAATAGCCATTTAATGCAATTTTTCACACATTTTTCCAACATATAATTTGTCACTAAATGGAGGAGGATTGTTGGAAATTTATTGAAAACAATGCTCAAAGTGTTCAAGCAGGATCCTTGATAATATTTTTAATTATGTGTATGGTGGAGTGATAATTAAAATATTATTGAAAGGAGAATCATTAACTATTATACCCCCGCCCCGCTAGAAGGTTCCCGTTACGGTTTACGATACTTGACTGACGATAAAGCAACTTAATCCCTGTTCACACTCTGATTATTTTTAGTAAATAAAATTTACATATTCAAAAACTACATTAATACCGATACAAAGCCTTATAAAAAATGTAAAATTTGATAAAAAAAAAACCGGGGATATAAAGCAAAAGATTAAAATTGATTTAAATTGATTTAAATTGATCATATGAATACAGTGGTGGATTTAGCACTAATTTTTTGGGCGTTCAAAATTACCTTACACCACAAATTTTGAGGAAGATTATTGTTTATTTGATGCAAAAATTTCATACATTTTTCTCTTGAAAAACTGATAAGTTGAATTAAGGGTATGAAATGTTACATAAATAAACTAAAATAAATTATTACAATAATTATATATATATATATTCCAATTTTTCTCAAAATTTTTTGGTGTTCACATTAACACTCCTGAATAGAAGGGATCCGCCACTGTATGAATAGTGGACGAAAACCTTCTAATGAGACGGAGGTAGTAGTTACTAGTATTATTGTATACGACGTAACAATTATTTTCATTGGATAAAGTAATCGTTATTGTTTTAATAATAATAATTATAATATGTGAATAAAAGCAATTGTGATGCTTTAGTTGGACTCGTACATAAGATCGATTTAAACGGAATGGGTTGTTTATCAACATGAAAATTAAAGTGTATATTCTTTTGGTGTTCAACATCCTTTTTATAAGGAAAGACCTTAAATCCAGAATCATTGCAACTCTTTAATTTGAAATCGCAGCTCTGATCTTCGCAAATTATACTGTGGGATCGGTGCACCATGCTCATGGTGTATCAATCTAAAAACGTTATCGTTTTTTACTTAAAACAAATAGCAAATCGTAGGTGTTTGAAATAGAAATTTTTAGGGAAGTCCTGCGAGCATCTGGAATTGCTCCACATCTCGAATTGCTTGGCTCCGATCTTCGACCTTGTTGTGCATTTGGTGATCTGGAATTGTTGCGGTTTTGCTATGCATCGAAGCAGTAGCTAGGTTTCTGCCCTCTCTGTAATCGCTCTATGCATCTGGGAGTGCCGCGCCGGAACAGTAGCAACAGTAGCTTTCCGACCATGATAGTTACGAAGTACATCTCAGATCGAAATTGTCCGTTGTTCTCCTAACTTCCTGTTGTCTCGCCCGGAATCCATAGTTGATCCAGTAACGAGGTTCACTCGGCGGAAAACTCCATTTAGATTGCCTGAGTTTAATCCCATCTAGATTTTGTTGTTGTTTTGAAAGATAGCATCTACGACTGGTCGTGTATTCATTATGGCAAGTATATGGAGTATGTATATTTAATGGACAAGTATACTTTTATTCGCGCTTGTTGGGGTTTAGTCCCGTAGATCCGGAAGCCCAACATAAACTCCGGATATTGAGGACGATGGATTCGGTATGAACATGAATAAAATATATAAAAGTGTATGAACTAGCTATTTTTACGTGGAAACCCGGAAAGGGAGAAAACCACGGGACTTTTTAGGCTAACGTCCAAGCCCGCTCTTTTCATTCATCTGCTCTCCTCACCATTTTACATACTACAAATAACTTGGAGCCTCCATTAATGGAGCTCATGTTGCTAGCTACAAAGGGAGAAGAAGAAGAAAGCAGTAAAGAAGGAGAGCCAAAGATCGGATCCTTTAACCAGGAGGCTTGGCCTCCTATTTATAGAAGGGGAGGGGGGTTTTTAGGGCTATGCTAATGGGCCTTAATGGGCCAAAACAGGCCCAAGTAGGCCGAGTAGGCCTAACTGGCCCTAAATGGGCCCGAGGGGCCTAAACGGGCCTCGTCGATTGGGCCCCGTACCGGGGTGGTGTATTGGGCCTCTGAACAGTAGTAGGCCGGGGTGACATACCCCAACACAAGTCCCCCAGTTTCTTGAGTAGTGAGCCTACAAATCTACTCGAGAAAGTATAATCCTGCTCACGTCCTTCCCTGCCTTCCCTGAATCAGAGTCTTTGAACAATCTTGGACGCAAGGCATGCATAAATGATGAACGAGGTGCAGTCCCTCGCTAGGCACGACGGCGCTGAAGAGCCAGCCGCTCGTGCTGCATAAGATGTCGGTCCCAACCCTGAATGGCATGGGCAGACCTAGTCGAGAAGAAGGCACGACGGCGCTGTGGAGCCCGTTCGTGCTGCATAAAAACGGCGGTTGTCATCCTAGATTAAGGATGGACGAGCCCAACCAAGAGCCAGGCATGACGGTGCTGCGGAGCCCGTTCATGCTGCATATAAGTGCCGGTCGCCATCCTAGATCAAGGATGGACGAGCCCGACCGAGAGTCCGACACGATGGTGCTGTGGAGCCCGTTCGTGCTGCATACAAGGGGCGGTCGTCACCCCAGATTAAGGATGGACGAGCCAAACCGAGAGCCAGACACGACGGTGCTGTGGAGCCCGTTCATGCTGCATATAAGCGGCGGTCGTCATCCCAGATTAAGGATGGACGAGCCAAACCGAGAGTAAGGCACGACGGTGCTGTGGAGCCCGTGCGTGCGGTATAAGAGAGATGGTCGCCATCCTAGATCAAGGATGGACGAGCCAATCCGAGAGCAAGGCACGACGGTTTGTTTTTCATATGCCACAGGTCAGCACCAAAATTGAGGTGCAAGCCGTTCGGTTAATTTCTGTCGGTTGTTCTTTGTTTCCTGAACGCGCAAGACATAATGTTTAATGCTTGCTGCGCCCCCGAGCACCATGTTTCAGATGCATGCCGTCCGGTTTGTTACCGTCGACTGGTTGTTCCCTGAACGCGCAAGTCATCAATGTTTAATGCTTGCTGCGCCCCCGAGCACCATGTTTCAGATGCATGCCGTCCGGTTTGTTACCGTCGACTGGTTGTTCCCTGAACGCGCAAGACATAATGTTTAATGCTTGCTGCGCCCCCGAGCACCATGTTTCAGATGCATGCCGTCCGGTTTGTTACCGTCGACTGGTTGTTCCCTAAACGCGCAAGTCATCAATGTTTAATGCTTGCTGCGCCCCCGAGCACCATGTTTCAGATGCATGCCGTCCGGTTTGTTACCGTCGACTGGTTGTTCCCTGAACGCGCAAGTCATCAATGTTTAATGCTTGCTGCGCCCTCGAGCACCATGTTTCAGATGCATGCCGTCCGGTCCATTACCGTCGACTGGTTGTTCCCTGAACGCGCAAGTCATCAATGTTTAATGCTTGCTGCGCCCCCGAGCACCATGTTTCAGATGCATGCCGTCCGGTCCATTACCGTCGACTGGTTGTTCCCTGAACGCGCAAGTCATCAATGTTTAATGCTTGCTGCGCCCCCGAGCACCATGTTTCAGATGCATGCCGTCCGGTCCATTACCGTCGACTGGTTGTTCCCTGAACGCGCAAGTCATCAATGTTTAATGCTTGCTGCGCCCCCGAGCACCATGTTTCAGATGCATGCCGTCCGGTCCATTACCGTCGACTGGTTGTTCCCTGAACGCGCAAGTCATCAATGTTTAATGCTTGCTGCGCCCCCGAGCACCATGTTTCAGATGCATGCCGTCCGGTCCATTACCGTCGACTGGTTGTTCCCTGAACGCGCAAGTCATCAATGTTTAATGCTTGCTGCGCCCCCGAGCACCATGTTTCAGATGCATGCCGTCCGGTCCATTACCGTCGACTGGTTGTTCCCTGAACGCGCAAGTCATCAATGTTTAATGCTTGCTGCGCCCCCGAGCACCATGTTTCAGATGCATGCCGTCCGGTCCATTACCGTCGACTGGTTGTTCCCTGAACGCGCAAGTCATCAATGTTTAATGCTTGCTGCGCCCCCGAGCACCATGTTTCAGATGCATGCCGTCCGGTTTGTTACCGTCGACTGGTTGTTCTTTGTTTCCAGTCATGAACGTCTACGCGCTTCATGCCGTCCGTTTTTTTTTTTTTTTTTTTTTTTTTTTTTTTTTTTTTTTTTTTTTTTTTTTTTTTTTTCTTTCCTGAGATGATGGCTCCCCATGGATCGAGACAAGTGGTATCTATCGATCGAGGTGAGACTTTACGGAATGTGAAGATGCCTCCTAAGCAAATAATGTCGTGCCGTGGGGCTGATCATGATATGAAGACATGAATAAATCCAAGGGTCTCGCGAGCGCCCTCTGCTCAAGGACAGCGGCAGCAACTGCGGTAGCGGTCCACAAAATGTAGCCATGATGAAAGTCAAGCAACGCTCCTCATCCGCGCAGTGCGGGGACGAGGCCGCTTTTCAAAGATGATAAACACGTAGTGCCGACAGGCCGATCGTGATATGATGATGTCGGCAATGAGAAGCCAACCCGAAAATCAAGCAACGGTCCTTATCCGCGTAGTGCGGGGACAAGGCCGGTCTTCAAAATATGATAATGGCATCGTACAAGAGGGTCGGTGGCCATGTAATGAGGTCGCCACTGGAGGCCGATCGGAAAGGAACAAGTAACGGTCCTTATCTGCGCAGTGCGGGGACAAGGCCGGTCTTCAAATATGATAATGGCACCGTACCAGAGGGTCAGTGGCCATGTAATGAGGTCGCCACCGGGGGCTGATCGGAAAGGAACAAGCAACGGTCCTTATCTGCGCAGTGCGGGGACAAGGCCGGTCTTCAAATATGATAATGGCACCGTACCAGAGGGTCAGTGGCCATGTAATGAGGTCGCCACTGGAGGCCGATCGGAAAGGAACAAGTAACGGTCCTTATCTGCGCAGTGCGGGGACAAGGCCGGTCTTCAAATATGATAATGGCACCGTACCAGAGGGTCGGTGGCCATGTAATGATGTCGGCGTTGGGGGCCGATCAGAAATAAATAATCAACAGTTCTCATCCGCGAGGAGCGGAGATGAGGCCGGTCTTCCAAATGATCACCATGCCGAGCCAGGAGAGTCGGTCGTGGTGAGAGAAAATTCGGCGCTGGGAGGCCGATCTGTAAATCCGAGGGGCTTACAGGCGCCCTCAGCCCATAATGTTGCTCTAGGTGCCGAACGGCGGAGGCCGGATTGCCAGTCAGGTAGCGTAATCTGAAAGCTCGTGTATCGTACAGTCCATAGGACTTCCCTTCATGTGTTGTGACATGTATACATTTGTAGTCCCTTCTTTTCTCAATCGTTCATGATTCCTTCTACACACTAGTAACCTCACTCTTTCTTTTCTCTCTCTCTCTCTCTCTTTTTTTTTTTTTTTTCCTTTTTTTTTTTTCCTTTCCTTTTTTTTTTCTTTCCTTTTTTTTTTCTTTTCCTTTCCTTTTTTTTTTTTTTTTTTTTTTTTTTTGGCGTTTCCCGATCTTCCCGTCCGGTCTGACCGAACGGCTCTAAATGTAAATGTTCCTTCTTTTTGTTGCCAATCATGAGCGTCTCTGCGCGTCACGTCGAACGTCATGAACATCTCTGTGCGTTATGAACGTCTTTGAATAAATGTGATTCTTTTCTTGTTGTCGGGCATGAACGTCTACGCGTTTCATGCTGCATCGTCATGAACATCTACGTGAATCATGACCTCCCGTTCGAGAATATCTCAAGAATCTCACTGCACAGTAAGCATGGTAATACGGCCGTACGGCCGAACAACATATACAAGTATATACAATTACACACATGTTTAACATTTCCCTTTTATTCTTTATTTTTCATCCATGACTATCGGCCGAAGCGGTAATGATAACCCTTGGCCTAGATTCATTTCTTGATCTGTTAGAGTCCACGACTCGAACCACCTAGTGTTTTGTCGGGTATTCAAGTACGTATTTCGCCCCGTACTGGGTACAGTTGCTGTTCGGGCACTCAATGCCGAACGAGACCATGAGTAGTCTCCAAGTCAAAATACGTCATCGGGCAATGCCCTTGCGAGACGCTTTAGCTACTTTAGGCCGATCGGGGGTGGACCGATATGCCCAGTAAAACCAATCATTTAATTAAAATGATGGTGATCTTTTATTAAAGCCGAACTCATTGCTAGAGCACGACCTTATTCCGTTCGGGGTGTTTTTCACCCTTAACACCGGTTATTTAACTAAAAATGATGGCGAGTTCATTACTAGAGCTTCACTCGGCCCTATTCTGCCCGGGAACTTTAATCCCTAATTCCTGTCATTAAAAGTTAAAATGACGGCGAATATCTATCATTGGAGCTTTCCTCGATGATATTTAACTCGGGATATTCTAATCCCTACTAAACAAATCATGGCGATGTGTAACTAATATTAATATTACTACATCACTACATTTTAATATTTTCATGGATGTACCGCCAATGCCGAACGGGCCCATGAGTGATTTTCAATTTAAAATACGTCATCGAGGACACTTCAGCCAATTAATTTGGCCCGATCGGGGGCGGACTGATACGCCCAATCAAACCAAGCATTTAATTAAGACGTTGGTGATCTTATATATAGAGCCCCGGTCGGTATATTATTCAGGATATTTCAATCCCTATTAAATAATGGTGGGGCAGTCAATCATTCATTTTTTTTTTTAATTAACGAGATAGAAAATGATGGTACTTAGCTGAATCAGGCTGAATTTCAGCTGCCAGACCAAATTATTGGCCTGGAGGATCTGACCAGCCCAAGATGATGCAACTCAATTAATTCACTAATCACGTGGCTTCCATCCAGAGATCATCCCTAGCCCAAAAGTTGCTGGACCGTACCCGTACTCACTTTCAAAACCATGCCTCTTTTGTTGGCAGCAATTGGCCGAACGGCATCCTCTTAAGAAGATACCCGATCATCCCTCGTCAGCCTGTAATCGAATTGCTTTAGGTGACCTCCTTCACTGGCCCGAATTACCGATCGGTGAGATAGGCTCATTCCGAGACCCGTCCGGGAAGATAAGGCCTGGCCTGCTACCAATCTGCGGCATGGTCCTCCCATCCGAAGCAAACGTTGACCGGGAATTTTGGTGACTGGAGTGATGCTTTTGCTGAGTTCCCGTTCGGTGTGAGAGCTTATTTGTAAAATGGAGGTCTGTAGTTTGCATTTCCTCAATGTTGACAGGTTTCCCGTCCGGGCAGGGGATAACTTTAATCACATGGGAACACCAATTGAAGCCAGAACCCAAATTTATCTCTGGACTGATGATTTGCCGGACGGCAAAATTCCGAGGCTCTGCCCGTCTGCCGTTCGGTGGGTGTGCCTGCTTGTCTGGTCGGCTGAGATTTCTTCTCCTGAAGGCGATCAGTAGTTCTGCTCCTCCATGGTCTGCTGTGCGATTTCCCTCTTGACCGCTCACTCACCCTATGGATGGATGAGGCCGTGCGGCTAGTGAGTAGTACCGTTCGGTTAGCAAAAGGATGTTTATTCGCTAATCTGCTGTCATTCCCTATCACCGAAGCTTCTGGTCGGACAGACCATTTTTAGAGGCCGTTCGGGTAATTTCACGTACAGTTGTTAAAGTACTGGTTAATTTGTAAAAACTGATAGGCAGGGGAACAGTGGCATGGACGGATTCTACGGTTCTTGGTCAGTAGGACTGACTGATGTCCACAATTGTTCTTGTTTGAAAATGGAGGCCAAGCAGTTCCTGTGTTAAGGGATGAGCAGCCGTTCGATCTGGGGTTCCCTGTTGCCATCCTTATGCATCTGGACGGGAAAGACTCACCTGATGGAGGCAGCATCCTGAGCGGGAATGGGGCTCCCACATCACTTTATTTCAGGTATTTCCATCCCTGCCGGGAACAAACTTGAGGCGGTTACGCTCGTGTTCAGGTAGTTCCCGTTCGGGATCCGGGCGTCTTGTTTTAGTATAATGATAAATCTGTTAAGTCCTTATCAGTGTTGTCAGGCGTTTCCTTGGGTGTTCCAGGAAGCTCTTGTTCGGCGTTCGGGATGTGGTGCTCATTAGCTTGGATGTTGGGGAAGCTCTCGTTCGGCGTTCGTCATTCGGTGCTCATTGGCTTTGGCATTCGTGCTGTTCTCGTTCGGCGTTCGGGATGGTGTGCTTAGCTTAGGTGCTCGGGAGGCCGCGCTGGTTTATTGGATAATGACGAATCTGTCAACTCACCCACGTGTGTTGTCACTTGCCAGGCATCATGAATCTGTCAGGTCATCCTCTTGATTTGCCAAGCTCCTCACGTGAGACTAAAGAAAGTTACCAAGCATCATTGTTTCTCCTTCTTTTTCCCTTTGGAAGCCAGATTGGTGAACTAGCTTGGAGCTCAAAATAAAGACGTAAATCTTAGAACCTGTGAATCTCTTTCTTCGTAATAGTGAAAACAATAGACTGCTTATCCATGGTGTTGCCCCGGACATGTCAGATATGAGATTTCAATTCCCACCCTTTCTTGCTGGAAATCAGTCCGTCTTAATATCAAAAAATTTGCAGAACATGAATCTTTTTGCAGCGGTTCCCACAGACGGCGCCAATGTTGGGGTTTAGTCCCGTAGATCCGGAAGCCCAACATAAACTCCGGATATTGAGGACGATGGATTCGGTATGAACATGAATAAAATATATAAAAGTGTATGAACTAGCTATTTTTACGTGGAAACCCGGAAAGGGAGAAAACCACGGGACTTTTTAGGCTAACGTCCAAGCCCGCTCTTTTCATTCATCTGCTCTCCTCACCATTTTACATACTACAAATAACTTGGAGCCTCCATTAATGGAGCTCATGTTGCTAGCTACAAAGGGAGAAGAAGAAGAAAGCAGTAAAGAAGGAGAGCCAAAGATCGGATCCTTTAACCAGGAGGCTTGGCCTCCTATTTATAGAAGGGGAGGGGGGTTTTTAGGGCTATGCTAATGGGCCTTAATGGGCCAAAACAGGCCCAAGTAGGCCGAGTAGGCCTAACTGGCCCTAAATGGGCCCGAGGGGCCTAAACGGGCCTCGTCGATTGGGCCCCGTACCGGGGTGGTGTATTGGGCCTCTGAACAGTAGTAGGCCGGGGTGACATACCCCAACAGCGCTCAAGTTACATCTCTATTAAAACAATTTACATTTTCATTGAGTTCTAAGTTACATTTAAATTATCCCGATTTACATTATTTATTTAGCTCGAGTTACATTTCTCAAGTTGCATGTTACAACACTCGATTTTACATTTTATAGCACACGATTTACATTTCACATATGAAAAGTGATAGAACTACTAGAGGGAGTAACATGAGTTACATTTCAAGCCACAAGTTACATTTGTTGTTAACTAAAATTACATTTGTAGCAAAACGAGTTACATTTAATTACGTGCTAGTTATATCTAATTATTTGTGATTTTTTTATTTATCTTTATCTTTAACAAATTAAATTACAACAATATTAACTTCATAAAGCCCTGCTATTGAAATTAAAAAATCATTGTTTTGCCAAAAAAAATTGATTTTTTGGGCAAAAAATGATTTTTTTGGCAAAAAAAATTATTTTTTGGAACAAAAAAAAGATTTTTTTTTACTTTTTTATAGTATTAATATTAAAAAATATATATATTCATTATTGAACAATTAGACTCTTTGTGTTCATTGAAATAAATGTTTTATTTCTTATGATTCGTATTAGACAAGTTACATTCCGACTTGCTTGCAGTTACATTTCTTATCAGTGTGAGTTACATTTTTTTACACGCTAGTTACATCGTTCTGCAGCTGGGACAATGAAAAAATAAAAAAGAAGTTACTGTTCATGCGCGTGAACAGTAACACACGTTTTTAGGTCCTGGAGTAGCATGCTCACCGTGGGCTGCTCCCACGGTATAACAACTCCTGATCTTGGCTTGCTCTATTTTATTATCTCAGTAATAAATACTCCCTTCGTCCCTTAAAACGGATGTCCCACTAATAACTTTGTCACTTTCTCTTTTAAGTATAAAATTTGTCGTTCTAGTTAATTTTCTCTCCACTGCACAAAACTCAACCACACAATTTTTACTTTATTAATCCCCGTGCCGGTCAAACTTGACAAAGTTTCAAGGGACAAAGTAGTATAAACTATAAAGTGTTTAGATTACTTTATGGTAGTTTCTATGGTACCCAAAAGGTACCATACCTTTGTCCACTTGGACCAAGCAGAATGTTGCAGTTGAATTATTTAAATATAAATTAAAAATGATTTAATGATTTGGACCAATCATGTGAATGGTAGGTACGGTACCCCATTTTTTAAATGGGTACTGGAGTTGTCATCTTACTTTATACTCTCTTCGTCCCATTGGACTTTGCCAACTTTCCCTTTTTGATTGTCCCAAAAAACTTTGTCATTTTCCTGTTAAAGTAACTAATTTGTGGTTCTTCACATTACTCTCTCATCTGCACAAATTTCAACCACACAGTTTTTACTATTCTTATTTCTCACCTATTTTGCATTTGACAAAGACCAACGGGACGGAGAGAATATACATATCACTTGTTTAGTGTTATTTTGTAAGTAACCAAAATACACTGTACACCTTTTTTTATCCCACAAGTTATATCTTCTAACTTGGTTACTGTGATAAGGGTAGATAATCATATTTACTCTTATATTACACTCTTATATTTACTCTGTACTCCGTATTAATGATGATACTATATATAGGTACTCCGGATAGAGAAAACTTCATGTCAGGCCGGCCTGACGGGCTGCCCCGTCCGGCCGAGCCCGTTTGGGCACCTTCCCGGTTGAATTTTTTGATGAAATTTTTTGAGCATGTTCCTCGTCAAGTCTAGTTTGTCCATACCAAATTTCAGCTCAAAATTCGATCGGGAAGGTTGTCAAATGATTTTTGCAAGTTAACTGGTCCGGAATATGTATTTTCCGGACCAGTTAACTTGCAAAAATCATTTGACGACCTTCCCGATCGAATTTTGAGCTGAAATTTGGTATGGACAAACTAGACTTGATGAGGAACATGCTCAAAAAATTTCATCAAAAAATTCCACCGGGAAGGTGCCCAAACGGGCTCGGCCGGACGGGGCAGCCCGTCAGGCCGGCCTGATGAGAACAGCCCTCCTCCGGATATACCAAGGGATGGAGACATTAATTCTGGTGTCTTCCCAAACTTGCCTTATATAAATACCCCACATGAATATCAACGAAAGACACACAGAGCTAGGCA